TAAGATGTCACTGACTGTAGGCACATTATCACTTCAGTAATTAAAACGTAAAAGCAAATGCATCTTAGAAATGATGAAAATATAGTATTATTATTACATGTACAATTCGAGATCTACTAGTAGATCCCCATCCTTCATTGATTTCTTAGAGACCCTTATTATAAGGCAAGAGGGAGAAATAAGAAGGTTAACTGTCTTCCTCATTTGTATAGCATTCTTCTGTAATGATACCCAAGAATAAAAAGTACTAGATTTAAAAAAAAAATTAAGCAAATACACCACCACTGATTTCTTTCTGGTTTTGTGGTTTGGGTATCACACAGAGTTACAGTATTTTTCATTCACAATGACAGTCATTTTTAATTTCACTAAGAGGCAAAGAACTTTCATTTTTTATTTACAAGAACCTATATTTTTGTTTTATTTTGCAGACTCCAATACTTCAATCTACTAAGGTGCATGGAATAAAAGCTCCTAGCACCCACCAAAATCCCAAGAGGATAGGGAGAATAAATATTGCCAGACTTTGGAAATCAAGAAAAAGTTGAAGAGACCCTGTCCTCCTAGTCCTAAGGATGGAGAATAAATATTGCCAGACTTTGGAAATCAAGAAAAAGTTGAAGAGACCCTGTCCTCCTAGTCCTAAGGACGGAGAATACATATGATTATAAAAATAGTTGGCTTTTTTTCTTTTTATTTAATAGATCTTTATTGGAGTATAACTGCTTCACAATACTGTGTTAGTTTCTGTCGTACAGCACAGTGAATCAGTCATATGCATACATATGTCCCCATATCCCCTCCCTCTCGAGCCTCCCTTCCACCCTCCCTATCCCACCCCTCTAGGTGGTCACAGAGCACCGAGCTGATCTCCTTGTGCTATGCGGCTGCTTCCCACTAGCTATTTTACATTCAGTGTGTATATAAGTCAATGCTACTCTCACTTCGCCCCAGCTTCCCTCTCCCCCCCGCCCCCGCCACCCTGTGTCCTCATGTCCATTCTCTACATCTGCGTCTTTATTCCTGCCCTGTCACTAGGCTCATCAGTACCATTTTTTTTTAGATTCCATAGATATGTGTTAGCATATGGTATTTGTTTTTCTCTTTCTGACTTACTTCACTCTGTATGACAGACTCTAGGTCCAACCACCTCACTACAAATGACTCAATTTCGTTTCTTTTTATGGCTGAGTAATATTCCATTGTATATATGTGCCCCAAGTTCTTTATCCATTCATCTGTTGATGGACAATTAGGTTGTTTCCATGTCCTGGCTATTGTAAATTGTGCTGCAATGAACACTGTGGTACCTCTTTTTTTTTTTTTTGATGTGGACCACTTTTAAAGTCTTTATTGAATTTGTTACAGTACTGCTTCTGTTTTATGTTTTGATTTTTTGGTCCCGAGGCATGTGGGATTCCTAGCTCCCCGATCAGGGATCAAACCTATATCCCCTGCACTGGAAGGCGAAGTCTTAACCTCTGGACCACCAGGGAAGTCCCTAGCTGGGCTTTTTAAACAGCAATAGAACCCTTACATATCAAGCATCTAAATGGAGTTAAGTAAAAAAGTCTAAAATATGCCAGTATTTCAAAAGTTTGTTAAAATAAATTTATACCAATTTAATTTATTAAAATATCTTATGGGCAGATTTCAATGAAACTGTTTTCCAGGATTCAAGATGGGATTCTTGAGAATAAACTATTTTCCAACATAAAAACATAACTCTGAATATATACTCTTGACAAAAACACAAGGTTCTTTTAATTATTTTGGCCATAAAACCTTCAAGTAAGTTTAGATCAAAAAATTATAATAAACACAATCAAATGTATACTCTAGGACAATTTCAAATAGCCAGTCTTCTCAAGTAAATATTTAATCTTCTGATATCAAAACTTTAAAAGCTCCAGTGAGATATACTTGCATATGTAAACACTAGTATCGTTATATTCACTATTGCGTTCAAATACTTAAGAGGGAAGTGACTGGCTAATACGAATGCAAAATATAAGGCAAGGTCAGAACCCCACTGCGATAGCTTTTCTCTAACACTGCAAGGGTATACACGCAAGATCCCAAGAAGAGAAGATATATGTTTTCTGAGGTTTATCCAACATGGTGGTTAATGTTCAATTATCCTCTGTCAAATGCTGCTGTTTCTTTAAAACAGAAAGTGATTTGTTTTCTTTGTCTTTAATTCTTTAAAGGCAAGAGTTAAATGCCCCGCCCTAAGTATGTTTACTGACTCTAAATGGTAAGTAGAAATCTGCCATTAGAATTTTAAAACTAATGCTGCTTAAATGTTATTTGCAGTAAGCAGATTACATTTGTTGTTAAAAATTTTTTAAAAATCTAAATTAAGAGGAACTTTAAACTATGAGAAACCTATGCCCCCAAAACTATTTGTATTTATACCCATCCTTCTTGCCAATGATTTCGACTATAGTAAAGCAGACAGAAGTAATTATTTTTTAATACTTCACAAAAATAAGAACAGATAGATTATCTGTGTAATCTGGATATGATTTTAACACTGAGAGATGAGTCCCCTATTTTGTAGAGAAAATTTTGTATGTGATTGCTAAGTAATTTCCCTGTTAGGGTAACTTGGGCAGCTTACAAGAATATTTCTGTTTCATACAGATACCTTTATCGAGATGAAGGAAGAGAACATTCTAAGAATATTAACATACTAAGGTGTAGCTTACCATTGTGGTATAAAATAGAGGTCCAAAAAGGAGAAAACTTATGTGCGTTGATGAAGTGGGGTGAAAACCGTACCTTTAGAAACCAGTCTTAGAGTACTGAAAAAGCAAAAATAACACAACCCTTATATTAACATAAAGCTCTCAAGAGATATGAGATTACTTTGTAATTAACAAGGAAAATTATTTGAGGCATATATATTTCTAAGACCCTTTAAAAATAATTAGTAACAATAAAATTCATTATATGACAATCTATACACTCATTGTTGAAAAGCTGTAACTAGGTAGGGCAAAATACAGTTTGCAAGCTAAAATCATTACTCAGTTTCTTAAAAATGTTTTAACACCCAGGAGAGAATGTTTTTTAATTTCTTCTATCATCACAGTTGCTGCTTTCATTGTTACTCTGGATTATTTTAACAGCCTGCCCTCTGGCCTTGGTCACTGCACCGTTCACTTTACAAATCATACATTTCATCATACCTGCTGATAAAAGTCCTCTAATGATATTCCCCCAAATGCCCCAGGCTACATTTTCCAATGCAGCTCCAATTCTTCCAGCCTTTCCCCTCTTCAAGCAAACAAGATACACTCCTGAAGAACCTCATTCCTCTAACACACAAGCTCTCATCGTGGCTGCACAAGAAAGTAACCTTGGGAACCTTTAAAAAGTGGGATACCCATGCTCCACCCTCCAGAGAGTCTCATTAATTGGGCTGGAGTAGGGTGCAGGGATCACCATTTTTGGAACTCCCTAGGTGATTCAAAGGTGCTGCCAGTTTAACTCGACTGCTATATCCTCTCTGCTTCCCACAGAAATAGTATGTTTGCTCTGAGAGTGATGCTAAATAAAGCTTATTTTTAATCTAATTCTTTACCTAACTCCTTGTAACCACCCCTGTGTCTATACACAGCTGAGCACATCTTTAAGCGACAGAAAACACTATTTTCCGTGTTAAATTGTTTTGGTTCGCTTTGGGTGAACCCAAAGCTTAAGTTTTGCCAGTTCAGGTTTGAAGAAAAAAGAAGGGGAGGGGGTGGAAAAAACAGGAAAAAACCCACAAACGACCAAAAAAGACAAGCACCATACAGGTTCCAGGAATAATCATTTAAAAAACGAATAAGACAGTAATCCTACTCTAGAAGAGCTCATGAAAGATTTACGCTGAATTTACGGTGAAAATTTTCTGACCATTGAATCTAAAGATGAAGATACACTAGGTAGAGGCGAAATGTGATGACGACTATCTCTTGTCACTAAATTGTGGGGGATGGTGGAGAGGAAGGCTTAGTGAATTTAAACTAAGTACTAAAAAACACAATAACCATTTACAAACCAAACATTCTGACTGTATACAGAACTTACTAGAACCCTGGAAGAAAACCATTGTAATTATCATCGTCTTCATTTTACAGAATAAGGCTCTCAGAACTAGTGACTTTCCCATGATCACACTAGACTGGAATTTAGACCTCTCTTTTTAATATTAAGATTCTTTCTCCTAAATCTTACAACCTTCCAGACCACTCAATCCAACACCCAGTTTTAGATTTTTTTTTTTTCTTTTTTTTTTTCGCGGTACGCGGGCCTCTCACTGTTGTGGCCTCTCCCGTTGCGGAGCACAGGCTCCGGACGCGCAGGCTCAGCGGCCATGGCTCACGGGCCCAGCTGCTCCGCGGCATGTGGGATCTTCCCGGACTGGGGCACGAACCCGTGTCCCCTGCATCGGCAGGCAGACTCTCAACCACTGCGCCACCAGGGAAGCCCCATTTTTAGATTTTTGAAAGCAAAACATTTAAAGGCCTCGATTCTGCTCAGACTAACAAAATTTTTTTTCTTAATTCTGATCTATTTTTACCATCATGGTTATCACCCATCGTACACGGTACTCAATCTGACTCCGAAAATCGTGCTAATCACTTTCTATTGGGAGTCCTACTTCATTGTACGCAGCCCCTCCCTGGTGGTGGTTATCGGAGATGGCTTCCAGCGGCAGCTATTCGCTAAGTTTATTTCTGAACTCCCGAGAACCACGGCGAGGACCAGTAATCAATTCTGAACGTCGCCATCAATCCCACTGATTTCCTCGATCGACGTGAGTCTCCTCCAACTGCTCAAGCATTTGTTTACAATTCAGACTTTACCTGAAAAACGGCCCAACTCCACAGCGCAGCGAACAACCTTTATTCAATATGGACACCGAGAACCCCACCCCCAAAGAAGCGCTACGTGCAATTCTTGCGAGTTTCCGGAAATACCTGTAACTCGAACCCAAGGGTCAAAGCTAAGATGAAAAGCGTGGCTTGGCAGCACCGCGAGGGGCAACGGAGGGACCGCCGGGAGGGCAGCTGGCTCGACCCGGCCCACCGCGTCTCCGGGGATACCGCCTTCCTGCCTCGGGCTCCGGGCCCCGGAAGCGGCGAAAAGCCACTCGGGAAGCCGCTCGCTCACCTCTGACCCCACCCCGAATCTCGCGCGCCTACCCCATCCCCCGCAGGCGCGCCACGGCCACCCGCCGCAGCCCACCTGTGCGGGCCGCAGCCTCAGGATATCGCCGTTGGCTCGGCCAGAACGCGACGCGCCGGCGCCGCGCTGCCGGCTACGCGCCCGCCCGCCGCTCGCTCCGCACGCCCCCTTGCCCGCGCGGCGCCACAGCTCAGCCGACCGCCTGTTACGGCGCCCGCGCTTCCGATTGGCGCACTGGGCGGGCGACCGCGGGCGGAAGCGGTAGAGGTGGGAAGGCGGGGCCGCGGCCAGGAGACTCGACGCCAGGATGCTCTCGCCTGGGACTGGTCCTCGCGAGGCCTTTTGTGACTAAGGCCCGGTGTTGGGGCGAGGCTCACGAGCGCTTTCGCTGGTCCGGCATCCAGGTCCGTAAAACGAGAGGTAGCGTGTGGCTCTTTGTGAGGTAGGGAGCCCTGTTTAATTTATACAGTGAAAGAAACTTGGAACAAGCTTTCCTTGCTCAGCCCATCCTTATGAAAGGGAACGACACTATTCCTGTATTTACTAGTGCAGGCCTTGCAGCCTATGATAGTCTATCAATCAAGTGCCAATGAATTTAATGCCATGAAACAAAACACCTCACTGAAGAGTTGTAAAGATTCAGGAACGGAGTAACCAGAGCACATTGCAATGTCTGATTGTAATTCTGCACCTTTAAATAACTTTGGTTGTTGGGTTATAAACTTTTAAAAAAATTATTGAAGTGAAGCTCACAGAATGTGAAATGAAACACTTTTAAGTACACAATTCAGTAGGCTTCAGTACATTCACAGTTCCGTGCAACCACCAACCATACTGGTTCCAAAACAATTTCCTCACCCCTGTTAAGCAATTACACATTATTCTTCCCTCTCCCAGACCCTAGCAGACCCCAACTGCTTTCAGACTTTAAGGATCTACCTAATCTGGGTATTTCACGTAAATGGAATATGTGACCTTTTTGCATCTGTCTGCATTCACATAACATAATGTTTTCCAGGTTCATCTACCTTATAGCAAGTATCAGGACTTCATTCTTTTTTATGGCTAATATTGCGTCTTATTTGTGTGTATATACCCCAATTAATTCATACATCCAGCGATGGACATTTGGGTTGTTTACACCTTTGAGCTATTGTGAATAGTGCTGCTATGAATATTTGTGTCGAAGTATTGTTTTGAGTCCCTGCTCTCAACTCTTTCTGGTATATACTGTTAAAGAAACCTGGAATCTGACAGTAATTCAAGCGGTAAAAAAACCAGATTTTATTCAGGAACTATTGCAGTAGGGAGAAGAGACCTTAGTATAGAACTGGGTTCAGTTACAAAAACAGCATAGACAAGTAAGGATTTATAGCCAAGGTGGGGCGAGGAAACAGTGTATGGAAATTTCCTAAAAGGAAATATCAGGTGTAAGGGCTAAATTCTGGCCAAACCGACTTGAAAGGATTCTTAACTGAAGGCAGACCAGGATGATCAGCTATTAACGGTGGGGGCATGAAGAGTCCGATCAGATATTGAGGGTGATCAGATACCCGGGTAGGGGTTCTTTCTAAACTGACCTAGCTGGATTCTTACTACAACTGGTTGATGCAGACCCCACAAGACCGATACTAAAGTAGAGGCTAAGAGGGCTTAGAGGAGCCTGACTAAAGTTTAGTCAAGGAGAGAGTCTTTGTCAGTACCCAGGAATGGAACTGCTGGGTCATATGGTAATTCTGTGCTTAAATATTTGTGCAGTCAATAAACTGTTTTCCACAGTGGCAGAGACATTTTATATACTGATAGCAATGTATGGCAGTTCCAGTTTCTCCACATCCTCACCAAAACTTTCGTCTTGTTTTGTTTTTGATCATAGCCATTCTAGCGGGTATAAAATGGTATCTCATTGTGGTTTTGATTTGCAGTTCCCTGATGGCTAATGATATTCATTGAGAATCTTTTCATGTTCTTATTGGTCATTTGTATATATTCTTTGGAGAATGTCTATTCAAGTCCTTTGCCCACTTTTAAATTGGGTTGTTTTTTTGTTGTTTAAGTTATGAGTTCTTTATATATTCTGGATACTAGACCCTTATCAGATATATGATTTACAAATATTTTCTCACATTCTGTAGGTTGTCTTCACTTTCTTGCTAATGTTTTTTGATTTTCAAACTTAAATTTTTGATGAAGTCTAATTTATCTATTTTTTTCTGTTGTGGATTGTGATTTTGGTGTCATATTTAAGAATCCATTGCCAAATCCAAGGTCATAAGGATTGTTGAAAACCATCTCTGCACTTCGTTTTACACAAAGCAGAAAGTGAATTTATCACAAGGATTTCAACCTGCAAGCCAAGAAACTTGAGGCTATGGGAGCGACGAGTTCCGAGTTGCTCACAGACTAAAGAGTGTGTATAGGGTAAATGCAGAAGTAATTTGGCTTTTTCAGCTGATCCTTATTTGGATCAGTGTAGTTGTGTCAGGGGACCAAGGAAGTCCAAAGATAGCATGAGCAGACTTGGTCTTTGGGGATTGGCTGGCATCCTCTGCTGATTTCTGAGGAGGGCTGTAAATTCCTGCAACTTACATTAGGTAAGGTAAAGTTTTGTGTTTCTTTAATGCACCTGTGTTGTCCAACTCCATTTTGTCCCCAATATAAGTGACTCCATTTTAGTTTTGGTTCTACAGAATTCACCCCTATATTCTTCTAAGAGTTTTATGGTTTTAGCTCTTATATTAAGTCATTAATCCATTTTGAGTTTATTTTTATATACATTCTGTGGTAGGCATTCCATTTCATTCCTTTGCATGTTGTCCCAGAATCATTTGTTGAAGTGAATATTCTTATCCACAATGCATGGACTTGACAACCTTGTCAGAAATCAATTTGCCGTAGATGTATGGGTTTGTTTCTGGAGTATTACTTCTACTTTGTCCATCTTATGTCTGTCCTATGCCAGCACCACACTGTAGCTTTGTACTAAGTTTTGAAATTGGGAAGTGTAAGTCCTCCAGTTTTGTTCTTTTCCAATATTGTTTTGGCTCTTCAGATCCCTTGCAATTTTATATGAGTTTGAGGATCAGCTTTTTCATTTTTGCAAAAAAGGCAGCTGGGATTTTGATAGGGATTGCATTGAATTAATAGATCTCTTTGACAAGTATTGTTATCTTAAAATATTAAGTCCTCCAATCTGTGAACATGATGTCTTTCCATTTATTTAAGTCTTCTTTAATGTTTTTTCACAATATTTGTGGTTTCCAGTGTACAAGTCTTTCATCTCCTTAGTTAATTTATTTCTATTTCTTTTCTTTTTTTTTTTTGAATGCTATCTTAGTCTGTTTGAGGATGCTATAACAAAATCCCACAGACTGGGTGCCTTAAACAACAGAAATTTCTTTCTCACAGTTCTGGAGTCTGGGAAGTCCAAGATCACAGTGCTGACAGATCTGGTTTCTGGTGAGAGTTGTCTTCCTGGCTTGTAGAGAACTGCCTTCTCCGGGTGTCCTCATGTGGTGGTGAGGGAGACAAAGGCAGCTCTGGTGTCTCTTATTATAAGGATACTAGGCCCTCTTTCCAAAAAACAATCACATTGGGGCATAGGGCTTTAACATGAATTTTGGGGGAACACAATTTAGTCCATAGTAAATGCAATTATAAATGGAATTTTTACTTAATTTCCTTTTCGGATTATTCATTGTTGATGTATTAAAAAAACTGATTTTTGAGTGTTGATGTTGCACTCTGAAAACTTGTCAAATTTGTTTATTAGTGCTAATACTTGTGTGTGGTATGCATGCGTGTGTTCTTTAAGGTTTCTTTTTTTTTTTTTTTTTTTTTTTTTTTTTGTGGCATGCGGGCCTGTCATTGTTGTGGCCTCTCCCGTTGCGGAGCACAGGCTCCGGACGCACAGGCTCAGCGGCCATGGATCACGGGCCCAGCCGCTCCGCAGCATGTGGGATCTTCCCGGACCGGGGCACAGACCCCGTGTCCTCTGCATTGGCAGGCGGACTCTCAACCACTGCGCCACCAGGGAAGCCCTAGGGTTTCTTTATATAGGATCGTGTCATCTGTAAATTGAGGAAGTTTTACTTATTCCTTACAGTTGGGATGCCTTTTATTTCCTTTCCTTGCCTAATTGCTCTGGCTAGAGTCATTCCTTCATTTTAAGGAATTGGCTCATGCAGTTGTAGATGCTGGCAGGTGTGATCCACAGGGCAGGCTGGTAGGATGAAAACACCAGAGCACTTTGTAGTTTTAACAACGCCTGCCCTCAGGGGAAACTAGTAAACCAGAGCCTAATCTGCTGGTTTTATTAGAGCCTAGCTGACCTGGGGGAAAGGAGATACCCAATTCCAGCCCACTGTAGCCATGTGTCTCACCTGTGGGTGGGGGAATCTGAGAAACACTTGTGAAGTTCACAGTTCGGGGACACAGGCTCACTAAAAGACTGAGACCTAATCCAAGGATTGTAGACTGCTTCCCTTTCCCAAACCTTACCACCACATAACTAAAGGCCTATTTACAGCAGTTCCTTTTATCCAGTACATCATGTCTAGCTATCAAGAAAAAATTACAAGGCATACTAAAAGGCCAAAAATACAGTTTAAAGAGGTAGAACAAGCATCACAGCCAGACATGGCATGGATGTTGGAATTATCAGACTGGCAATTTAAAACTATGCCTCCTGATGTAGTGTATTTCATATTATTACTATTTATGAATTATGTTCATAAAAACAGAAATTGAATCTGGATTGAATCAAGCCCCTAGGTCTAACTACCGGTTTACTTGAATAAAGAGGCACAGAGTAACTTGTTAAAGTGACAGCATGATAATACAATCTGCCCAATACATAGTGTAGTAAACCGTAAGAAAACTGAATGTGAATTGGCTATGTGATATTAAGGAATTACTATTAACTGTTACAGGCTGAATTGTGCTGCCACCACCCCCCCACCGCCCCAAATTAATATGTAGAAGCGGTAATGTCTAGTACCTCAAAATGTGATTGTATTTGAAGATAGGACCTTTAAAGAGGTGATTAAGTTAAATGAGGCTGTTAGGGTGGGCCCTAATTCAATATGACTGGTATCCTTAAAAGAAGAGATTAGGATACAGATTGAGAGAGAGACACTAGGGATGCCAGCACACAGAGAACAGACCTTGTGAAGGTACAGCGAGAAGGGGCTATTTGCAAGCCAAGGAGAGAGGCCTCAGAGAAAACCAACCCTGCTCTCATTTTGATCTTGGATTTCAGCCTCCAGACTCAGAGAAAATTAATTTCTGTTGTTTAAATCCCCTAGTCTGCGGTATGTTATGACAGCCCTGGCAAACTAATACAATAACACTAGATGGAATAGTGATTTTTTTAGTTATGAGAATAAGAAAAATGGACTTTGTG